ATCAACTCTCCACATACACTTGCAACCGTAACAATATCCTCATCATCATCGATTTCTGCAATGTATTCCAGTGCTTCTTCTTCTGCAATGTCTTCATTATCTACCATAGAACCACACACTCCAGCAGTTGAATCACTCCCATCATCGGATGCTTCTTCTCGTTCCTCAGATTCGTACTCTGGTGTGGTCTTTTCTTCAGGTAGTACGCTCACAATAATCTCACTGCGCAGATCACTATTACCAGGAGTTGTTTCTTCACATTGTATCGGAACTTCATCAGTCGCACGATCTGCAGGCTTAATACCAGTCACCGTTTGTCCACTCGCTACAGTTGGTTCACTCGGCAAGGCAACCGTGACGCCTTCAACAGTCGCAACACTTCCGACCTCAGGAGCTGCAACTTCAGGAGCTGCTGTAGTTCCTCCACTCGCAACACTTCCGACGTCAGGAGCGATAGTAACTCCACCACGTTCTGTGTCAGCAGGAGCTTCATATTCCTCGCCTCCCTCGAGATCGACGGTCTCCATGACTACGGTCTCGACACTTACTGAAGCGACGGTAACATCACTCTCGAGCTGAACTGTAGACTCATAGAGAGTAGAGTCCCTCTCACACTTTTCTTCAGCTGTACTCAACTGCTCAAAGTGTAATAATTCCAAGTCTGCTTCATCTACTGATGCTTCATGTCTGTCACGATACATTACGTCTTCAGTGACTCCTAGATCTGCTACAAACTTGGCTGTCCGGTTATCTGGAAAATAGACTTTACACCCAACGACATCTTCAGCATAACCAAGAACAAAACCCAGTCGAGCATTATCGTGATATTTCTTCCTTCCAGGTGTCACTGGGACGTGAACGTGTGCGAGTGCCCCGAATTTCCGAATATGATGCAAGTCAGGCTGTACGCCGAACATCATTTGGTACGGGATACCTTCTGTGCCTTTGTTGTACACGCGGTTCTTAGCATACACCGCGTTCTTCAACGCTTCTGGCCACAGACTAATCGGAAATCCAGCCTCATGCATAGACGCCTTCATCATCTCCACGAGAGACTAATGAGTTCGTTCACACAGATTCAGTTGTGAGCTCTTCGGGCCAACTTTTACGTGTTCAACTCCATTTGCACTGTACCAATTCGTCATCGCATCATTTACGAATTCACCTCCTTTATCAGTCCACACTTGACGAACTCTGTACTTGACTCGTTCTGCTCCAGATAATTGTCGACCAGCTTGACGTTCAGACCAAAACACATACTCTTTAATATGTCGGTTTACAACTTCACTCGACTTGCTAGTCAACAAGTGGATTGTCACGAATCTCGAGTATTCGTCTATAATGACAAGTACTGCTTCATATCGAGTTCCATTCTTCTTGCTAGGAATTAGCAGATCCGCATATACAACTTGGTTCGGTGCCTTCAGCTTCCGGTCAAGCTTCTTCCGATGCTTCATTTTCTTCTGCTTACCCACATGGCATGCATCACAGACACCCAATTATCTCTGTTTCAGCATCATTCCTCGCACAAGACCCTTATCTACCATAGTCTTCAGGTACTGTGGACACGTATGTCCCAACCTCTCATGCCAGACCTTTAACGATCCAACACCGTCCATTGCCGTAAAATTACACAGCAATCCTGTTGGACTTCGAGTATAATCACCAGTTGCAGGATGAATCACCTCAAATCCCCATGTTCCTTCACGTGGCTGAGCAGCGATAATGGTCCTATCCTCCTGTTGTACACGATAAGTTCGGTCTTGGCGAATATAATCGACCTCAAAACCTTGTTCCTCAGCTAATCCAACAGATAGGATACCTTGCGTAGCTCCAGGCACATAGAAGACATCGTTTACAGTGACTCCTACTGGTTCTCCATCCACCACAGTAATAATTTCCACAGTGCCTACTCCAGCTATTCTCGACGCCAGATCTGGTGTCACACCATGTACATGCTGAGATTGACTCGAATCCTCGGTAAAATTCACGCAATACCACGGATTTTCAGTGATGTGAACATTCGACGCCGTGTCAAAATACCACCAACCACTGCTTGTGTCGATCTCTCCTTCCTCATGATCTAGACCGTTAGTCCACCAAGCAACAGGTGTACGTCTCCGGTCTGGATCGAATCCTTCATCCTCCTCAGAGCTGCTGTGAACATTTTCACCACTCTCAGAAGATATTCTTGCGTCCAAAGATAAGGCACCAAGATCTTTAGTCATCACTCTTAGCGATTTACTATCACTATCTGTGTCCACTGAAACATCTTGCCGTACACGAACAGCCATATTCGCACGTGGTTTCCGCTTCAGCTCGCTCGCCTTAGCTCCATCACCACCCTTGCTCTTTACCCACTCCGGACACTCAGCTCTAAGATGCTCAGTGCTGCCACATACGAAGCACTTTCTCAGCTTCTTCATCTTTGTGTCCTTGGAAGTGTTAAACGACTGGTCACCGAATTTTGGCTTGTTTCCACTATTAGCATAATCACCATTGCTGCTACCACCGTTTTTCTGGTTTCGGTGTCGGTCTCCATTCTTGGTCTGATAAATCTTCTGGCGTGAGTCAGCAACGCGTATCAATTCACGAACACGCTCTGGGGTTACCATGTCATCTGCCGAGTTGTAACGAACTCCACTTTTCAGACTCTCGAACTCAAAGTGATGAGGTAAGCTATTCAGCATTAACTCCACCTTAGCAATATCATCAAACTGATAGTTCAGAGACAACAACTCCGTTCGCAGATTGAACATCTTACTCAGATGTACATTAACATCTCCACCTTGGTGCAACTTCAACATCTCAAGCTCGTGTCTAATACTTTCCGCTCTATGAGCCATTGTCGTCTTGTTTGACCTGCTCTCATAGATGACATACAACGCTTTCCACATGTCGGTCCCGGTGGTCTTGTCACAAATTCCCATTCCAGTTCTTTGGAACGCCCTCACTAGTGTACTTTAGAGGTTCCGCCGTCCTGAATCACTTGCAGCTGGAAGTCCTGTGCTTGGGCTCAGAACCCTGTTAGAATCTGCACTTGATCCGTAGACCGAAGATCAACACTAGTTGAGTAAAAATGGAAAGTGAATATTTGTTGTTAGCTCTGCCTACTGCTCTGAGCTCCAACACTTACTTAAGCGGGCTTCACCGCTCAACATGTATGGGACCCGCATCTTGTTGCTTCTTGCAGTTTCACTATACTCCGTAGCGCCGTTAAGCTTAACTCAGATAGCCGGGTCTCGTTGTCGTCGTCTCCTAACATGTCCATGGCTGCAACACAATCTCCAGAAAGAATTGAAATTCCAACACGCCTCCCTCGAAGTCAGAACTTCGATCACTACGCTTCACCAATGCCAGCTCGCTAGTAGACGCCCGAGACGCACTTTATCCAAAGGTTTCGTAAAGGTATCAGCCGGATTGTCTTCTCCCTTCACCTTATGCATCTCGATCACACCTTTCTCCACTTGTTCTCTGACATAATGATCTCTACTAAATTGCGCACCTGATCAACCACCGTTCAGCTCGACCCCCCACGACGGCTTGGCGCTTGACTTCGTGGCGGATACGACCGACGAGAGGCTACCGCTTTGTCTTTACTTGCTCACACAGCGGGATCACCTCATTGAGGCTCATGCCATCTTTGTCTTGCACCGGTAGCTTTTCTGCGAGACAGCAGTGATGCTCGCGAGCACAGGCTCGGTGTCGGATTTTATCTTTCGCTACCCGATAATAGGGATTATCACGGTTGGAAAGTAAGCATGTTTGGCCAACCAAATAAATTAAACCTTCACAAAAGCCGTGTGGAAAATGCACTGTATTCGACCTCATCGGCGAGCAGCACGCACAGGTAGAATGACAGGAAGCCTGTGCGCGGTGCATCTGCAGCGCCTATAGCTCCTAGCTAGACGGAGCTGCTCGATGGTGACGCTGTGATGATCACTTCACAGCAAGAGCCTTACACCGATACTTATTGCGTATTTATATTATGATTTTTTTGTTTTATTTTAATGAACAACATCAAACCTTCTGGCACGGCTTTCCACCAATCATAGATAACCTTCACTGGTATAATTAATAACTCTAATCAAACTAAATCTTCACGTCCCATTTTTTTGGCTTCTGAGTGTGCCCACAACGCTATGACTATTAAAACAGATGGGAATGTCTAAATTTAATAACATCCCCTCGTAAAATCTGGTGTAGAAAAGAGAGCTAATCCACGTGGATATTCACAGCTCATTTATTATTATTAAAAACTTCGAAGTACAGTACTAAATAGTGACTACAATACCGGCGGTATTGTAGTCACTATTATTGTGGTTTTCATCCATTTTGGCAAAGCGGATGATCCGAGATCCACTATATCGGATCCGATTCGCTAAACGCCGTCGATATAGAAAGTAGGGGTAAGGTAAGATTGCTATCTCGGGCCGGATATGTCGATGGGCACTTCGAATTAAAGGGGAAGTAAGAATTGCCGTCTTTGGACGGCATAAGTGATCTGCCCAGTCTCATTTGCTAGAACACTTCCAGTCTAACCGCCATAGGAGAATTATAGCACCCTTTCACTCGGCAATCGCGCTACGGTATGCATACGTTTAGTGTTTATCTTTTCCTCAATAAGTAAAGCTGAGTTGTGGGTGGTAAGGTCGTCTGGAGATGACGTCGCCCTCATCATTAAGACCTTAAGTGGGTCACATATAGCTAATTCAAGCCTTATTACCCTACTACCCTGCCCAATTCATTTAAATCGGGCCCCGAGATAACACAGCAAATCGGGCGGCAAAATGGATGAAAACCACAATATATGTATGAGAGTGAGTATTTTGCCAGACTGGGAGCATCCCACTCGTAGCAAATCTTGTGTTATCTTCGGATTTGCTAGGATTTGCTAATATCTTCCATATCCGAACTCGGTACAGCGTATACTCTGCGTATACCCCTCCCACACAAAAAATCCTCCCCCTCCAGCAAATTCGTGGCGCCAACGGACCCAAATGCCGCCGCGCCCACGCAGCGCTCCAAAGCTCCCCCTGCTGGCAGACGCCAGCGACGATACCAGTGACGACGCCGCATCCGGCGGCTCTTTGAGTGAGTGGGAGCCGTCACCAAGCCCACCTCGTGTGGAAACGACAGGGACGAGCAGCGCTAGCGAGGAAGCCGGACCAGTCTGTGTCATCGCTCCGCCTCCGGGGGAGACGCAGTTCAGGTCGTGGGAAGAATTCGAGGCATACTTCGCGCAGTACCAAGCTCGGTCGTTCCAGGTACAGCTGAGAAGTTTTTTTTAATTATATTCAGTGTTATCTAAGCTAATTGGTTGGCATGTTATCGATACAATATTAGATCTACCGTACCAGAACGAACACCTCAGTTCCAGTACGGAATGCTCGGATATATGCCCAGGGATCCAAGGCGTGTAAGAATCCCGACGAGTGGGACCAGTACGCAAAAACATACGCGTGTACGCATTACGGCAAATTCCGATCGCAAGCCACAAGTAAGAGGCCTCGTCAGGAGAGTCGAGCTTCTGGATGCTCTGCCCAGGTATGTTGCTGCTGCAAATTATAATGTCGGGTGTGCTGTGCAAGATACATGATCAATTAGGCGAAGCCAGATTCAATCTGGCATGGTCTGGTATGATTGGGTATTGACTGGTTTGATCGGACAAATTTGCTAATATCTGCTGGCAATATTTCGTTGTTTTCAGATCAATGTGTGCGTTCAAGAGATCAACAAAGCTACCCATACATTTGCTCTAATGATTACGAAGTGCCACCTTGAGCACAACCACACATTGAACGAGTACGCTTTCAAAAGCCACTCGTCCAACCGTGTGTCCCTCGATGAGAGTGCTTTAGAGACAGTGGACGAGCTCTGCAAGGCTGGCGCGAAAAAGACAAGCATTCTCAAGTTTATCAAGGACAATTCCGATAGCAATCCGAAGCCACAGGATGTTCATAATTTGGTTCGCAAATTGAAGGCTCGCGAGCAAGGATTGACCCCAACCTCTAATTCAAAGCGGTTAAAGAAGTGGATGTCCGAATTTGGTGATGTTTCTGGCAACGTGGGGCGCATCTTTGTCGACGATGTGGGAGAAAAGGTATGATATACGACGTTTATGTTTCAAATTTAATTTCGTTATTGCCTATTTAACCGTTTCATTATGTTAGAAATTGGCAACCTGTATTACGCTTCAAACCAAACACATGCGATCGATCTTCACTCAATTTCCGGAGGTACTTCTAATTGACGCAACGCATGGAACCAATCGATCCAAGTACAAGGTCTTCTCTTTCATGGCACACGACACTTTTGGAAAAGGCCAGTTTGTGCAGCATGCCCTACTCCACAACGAGCAGTGGAGAACATTGTTGACTGCACTGGAAGAATTTAAGACGAATAACCCGGCTTAAACGCGTCTACAGTGCGTGCTCATCGACAAGAGCTTTCTGTTTTGAAGACAGCATTCCCCGGCGTGACTATTCTACTCTGCCAGTTTCACGTATTAAAGTACTTGAGGAAGGAAAGTTCATCATCGGATTACGGCTGCAACACGTGGGAGAGAAATCAGCTGCGAGGGCTCATGGACCTCCTGGTATACGCGAAGACGGAGAAGGAATACATGGGGCATTTCCGGTACATGCTGCATGTGTGCGAGGTTGGTCATTCAAGGTCGGAGTCTTCAGATTCAATCGGGCAGGACAGATCGACCCCCTCTTCGGTCGGGGTGAATCCGGCTCCAGTCGGGCAGAATCTGGCTCCAAACTCCGTTGAACCCGCGGATGTGGCTGCTGCGACAAATGAACCCACCACCCACCCGTTTGCTGCCTATTTCATCAGAAACTGGGATAATTGTCGTAAGTTATGGTGTGCACACAAGCGGCAAAACACCGTCACTCTCGGCAATAACACCAATAATAGATTGGGGGCATCCTGGAAGCAGTTGAAAGAGTGGGTAAATTCGTTCATGGCTGTGGACGAATGCATTGCGTCTATCATGTACTATCAAACGCTTCAAGAACGACGTTTCATGGATGAAGTCTACAAGAAGGTTAACATTCAGCATGTTGAATACGACCAAGAAATGACTCTCGTGGCTAACCTTGTCAGCGAACACGCGTGCGAGCTGATACAAGACCAATACGTATACGCACTTGGCCGTGCATCATACAATTTTTCGGAACTGGACTTGTTCGTGCCTCTTTATGAGCACGCGTTTGCTGCCGTGTCGTCATGTTTTCTTTCTGAGAAGAGCACTCGGCAAAGAAACTGTTATCCCGACACAACTTCTCAATCGCCGGTGGATATTGTCTTCTGTTAGGTCCTCGATAGAGTTCGAGAGCTCAAGTGACAACTGTACGTCTATGGAATCTTTCGCTATTCGTCGGGTTGTGGCGACGGATGATCGACCTTGGGACTCAAACCGCAAGTATCGTGAAGCGCTGCCTATCGCTAGTGAAATTTGTGGTTCGATGTCTGGATTGGGAATGGCACACTACCGAGAAGCGATGGAGTATCTGAAGGATGTTGCTCGTCGGTTCAAGCATTGTGACTTCGGCACCTTATCCAGTCAAAACCAAAACGTTCAGCTATCAGACTCTTCTCCTTCTACCCAGCCAGCTGAAGCGAGTTCAGCCATTGAGAACAGCCAAGTCGAGGAGTCTGACATCCAGTCTGGCGAGTCTGGCATCCAGTCTGGAGAGTCTGGCACTCAGTCTGGCGAGTCTGGCACTCAGTTTGGCAAACATTATGAATCGAAAACCCGAGAGTTGACATCAACTCTCCAAGAAGTAGGGAATGAAGAATTTCACGTAGCGAGCCCTCCTAGATCCCGCGGGCGCCCAAAGCAAACAGCAAAGTCGAAGAAAGCTGCTCGTAGAAAGAATGCCACGATCGTCCAGGAGGACTCAGACTTGTACGCGGCGAATATGAGCCTGGCTACAGTGCGAGATGCTGTTGAAGGCGTGCCTACATACGATACATCTGCCGCTACCCTATCGCGATTCAAGCTGTATGAGTTCAGTAAAACTCCCAGGGCTCCTGTAGCCCACGAGAGAGCGAGCTTACCACCGGCGAAGAAAATTTATCCTGTGGAATCCATAACCCGTGTATTTCGCAAAGACTTCATTGAGAAGTGCAGCACCAAAGTCTCAGCCCTGCAGAAGAAGCATAAAGATTCATAGGGTGTAAATCTAGGCGAACAAGAAATTGCGGTGGATGTAATCGGTGTTGGAACATACACTACCGAGACGTTGGGTGTAATGAAAAAGTGGCACAGGGCGATGAAAAGCATACAACACGTAGACAAAGCTATAAACTGGATCGAGACCATTGATTTCACTCTACAGATGCCCGAGCATTTCCAAGTTGATCCAGATTCAGATATACTTGCTAAGCTGAAGGCCATCCCACTTCTGTCCGTGCAGGTACAGTTAACGTACATTTACTGATACAATGGGTTTACTAGCGTTGATACCATCTTCTTCAATATAGGCGGAAGCGCTGGAGCTCGTTGGCAAGTCGCCCTTGGGTGATTGTACCGCTAACACTTTAGTGCTGAAGCTGTTTGCAGAAAGAGTAGACACGATTGGAGTCGACACGTCCATCGCGGGGAACGTTATGAATGGCTATTTATCGATCTATACGATGAAGGGCGTGTTTGTAGGTGTTACGGGTGAGAAGATTTTGATTCCGATCATCGGTGGCAAGAATCACTGGTGCTCTGTCATGATTGACCTGACATGTAAAGACGTATTAGTCTACGCCCCGATGAATTCCAGCTACGGAGTGAAGATTCGCCCCCTTGCTGACAAATTGGTGACGATGCTACCAGACTTCGCCCAAGAAAGTACCGAGTCCGAATGTACGAAAGTGATCTTGGAGTGCAGGTCGATAGCTACAATTGTGGCATGTACATGCTGTTGGCATTCGAGATATTTGCCGGTGCTACTACTATGCGTGCGCTAAGTAGGAAGGAGTTACAGTATCTACGCTATCGGTATCTCTGCATGTGCGTTTAGCTGAACAAGTTTTCAGTGATTTGGTCTTTTGTTTGTGTGTGTCGATGGCATGACTACCTCCGGGTTATTCACCCTGCACTTTGTCTTGAGAGTTAGATATCCCCAGCGCAGTGAATGTCTTGCAGATATAAGTTTCGAAACCGACAGACATCGAGCTTCCGGTTATACGTATACTCTTGAAGACACATCAGCTGATGCCGTGTCCGGCTCTTCCTGAGTCTGGCATATTCGGGCATGCTAATCGGGTGTATTCTGGTGTAATTGTACTGTCTCTTGTTACCCAGTCTGGCTGAATAACGAGTGCCTATATGTATTGGATGTTCAAAGCTCGGTTTAGGCAGCATATGGATTTTCCCCATCCAATTGATAGGTCGTACAGTACTTTTATTAGTACCGCTGGTGCCTGCTACCCGCACTTGAATCAAGTCTCACTTCGCAACTCTCGGTCCAAAAATCGCAGCGTGTGCGTCGATGCACTATCAATGGTTAATACATGTATTAATAGTGCTTGCTTCCTCGACACTGCTAGCAAGCACCGATGGTGCCTTGAGGTCGACGGAATCTGCAGTACTCCCTCTTGCTCAATCAATCACAACGAACCGGATCTTAGTGCGCAAGAGCGACTCTGACTCGGTCAGCAACGGGGAAGGTGAGGATGCTGAAGAGAGGGGTCCGAGTCCAGGTACCTCAGCCATCGAAACACTGACAAACTCTCTGAAGTCGTCCGTTAGTCAGCAACTCGACGACGCGCTCAAGAAAGGAGAGTCCGCTGACGACGTTTTTAAGCTACTCATGCTTGACAAAGCTGCCGATGATCTACTAGCAAACCCGCGCTTAAACGACTGGATCGGCTACATGAAACTCTATAACAAGGCGAACCCGACAAAGAGAACAACTGTGATCGCTACGCTCACAAGTCATTACAAAGACGATGGGCTGGCGAAAATCATCGAAGCAGCGAAGCAAGTTCGAGCTACTGCGGGTCTTGCGAAGCGGGTGCAGACGGAGCAGATCTACCGTTGGTTGCTTGCCAAAGAGACCCCGGATAGTGTTTTTAAGTTGTTAAAACTGGAGGACACAGCGGAAAGTCTCTTTACCCAGCCTCAAATAGTGTCATGGGCCAAGTTCGTGGACGAGTACAACAAGGTGAACCCGACCAGTGAGACAACTTTATTCTCGTTCCTGAAACCTCTCTATAAGGACGAAGAGGCTTTTGTGCATATGCTTATTGCTGCGAAGAATGTTCCGAGCACGGAGAAGATTGCCATTCGAATTCAAGCCGAGCAGACAGCTCTGTGGCTAAAAACCAAGAAACAACCGATCGATGTGTTCAATCTGCTGAAGCTTCAGGAGACCAAGGTCCCGCTCCTTGAGAGCCCGCTGTTCACTGCTTGGGTAAGGTACACGGACGATTTCAGCCTGATTCACCATAAAACGAAGATGACTCCGATCTCGGTGCTGAAAAAATTCTATGCCGACGATGTCCTGGCAAAGATGATTGTTGCGGCCGACAAGAACCCGAGATCGTCATTGATCGCGCAACATTTGTTTATTCAGCAAATTAGGAACTGGTACGAAAGCAAGCTTACCCCCAAAAAGGTTTTCGAGCTGCTAAAGCTTGACGACGTCAACACTCCGCTGCTCGAAAACCCACTGTTCGTCTCTTGGGCGAGATTCAACGACTACTACAGAGGGAAGAAGCCGAAAGACGGTGGAGATCTGCTATCGTCGTTGACGAAAATTTACGAAGACGAGCGAAGTCTTACAACGGCATTCGTCCGAGCATGGCACGTTCCAAAAACCAGATATCATGCGGAGCAACTACTGTATGCACAGATAAATCGTTGGGTGGCGACCGAGACAGATTCAGTGAGAGTTTTCTACCTTTTGAGTGTTAGCGGAGCAGGGAAAGATGACGTTCGGAAGCTGCTTTATAACAAATACCGCAACGCTCTTGCTAAACTGCTTAAAGAAAAGAAGTCGGGCTAGGAATTGGCTCTGAATTGTCAATTACTAAAGCAGAGAACTATAAAACTCTACTGAATGATTATCAATTTGCTCAACGTCTTTATGCTTCAGGCTTTTTTTATTTCTGGCGAAGCACTTTTAAACGTCGAAGCGGGCATTTGTCCGTTGACCTCGATTTTGGAACTAAAAGTCATTACCGCTAGAGCTGGAACTTTACTACAACGGACGCGCCCGATTAGAGTCCGGACTATATTTAATAGTGCCGCCCGAAAGTGACAGAGAGGACTTTAAACGGGTGAGGACTTTATTCTTTGCTGAAATGATTCGTGTACCAGGTTAATATCGTCTAACGCATCATCTAACTCTGAAAGATTTAACAGATCGACGTCATCGTTTATATGCGGTTCCTTCGACCACTTTTCACGAAATGTTGCGCCGTACACATCGTGCTTGGATATAAACCACGACGAGGGGTCTCTCGAGAAGCCCGCTATTTCAACGCTCCGCATGATTGTTGCTTTATCCGTGTCTCGCAACGCGCGGAGCCCCAATCGCAAACGGTGTCAACACTTGGCATACATGGGTTACCAAAGCGAGTGTATTCGACTCGGTCTGACTCTTTCCACGCGTTAATTTCCATGTACAGTAGGCCCTTGAAACGACATCTTAATCACCTCTTGCATACGCCCAATGCTAACCGACTGCCTTTGATGAGACATTATTGGAAATGACGGAAAGGTGTTTCTCTCTGTAGAATGGATGGTCAGCAAGTTAGTCAAACGCGAAGAACGGAGAGCCGCCATAGCAGCCCCAGTTCTTCGTGTTGCAACTCACCAATTGCTGCTCCGAGTACCTATCAAACAGCTCCTTCCCGCTTGCAATGCACTGCGCCGACTCGACAGCTGATACGGTGGCAAAAGCCCAGCAGGAGCCACACGAACCTTTGGTAGTTTTTATAAGGACTCTATTCAGGAGGGGCTTGTATTTAATAGTGCAGGCATGTATTTAATAGCACCCCGCATGACACTATTCGGTAGGGGGCTTTTATTCGGGCGCATCTGTTAGTAGTGGTTCTCTTGTAGGAGTGTGTAAAAAACCTCAATGAAAACGACAGCATTTAAAAGAATACAGGAGAAGACAAAGCCACGTATGTGTGGATGATCCTACGTATATGAAGTTCATAGAACCTAAGCTTGGTATATGGCTGCTGTTCAGGAAGGTTGAATACTCTACCCACTGGTCGATGGGTCTCCATCGTCCGATGGTCTTAAGCCGTCACTTGTTGTGTTGGTGGTGGGGAGCTTTCTCGTTTTTGGTTAATCACCGGAAGAACCTTGAGCTCTCTTAAACACTGAAATCGGAAATGGGAGGGGAGGACAATGGTCCTTTCTAAGGTGAGTGGGTTTGGGTCAATCGTGATTCAGGTTTGTTTTGCTTTGGTTGCCTCAAAGTGTGATTCATTTAACGTTAAGTACAGTTTATCCAAACGAGCATTTTGCCATGTGCATCAAATACTACTAAGCCGAATGAACAGGTTTGCCTGTCCATGAAAAACATTCGAACTGTGAGAATCTGATTAAGAATATACTGCGAAATATTAAATTTCTCAATTTTTATATAATATTACTGATTCACTAGCACTTATAGCGCGGAACATGATTCTGTGTTTCTTACATGTAGATAGCCGGTCAATTGAAGATAATATGAAACCCCATGTTTCTGGAGGTACTCGCTTTTTGATAAAACCTCAAGAAGCGTGCTCGCCATTTAAAAGCTTCAGAAATCAAAACCAGGACAAACTTTAGTCAGTTGGTATGAATTTCCTCACGTGAAAGATATGAGGAAAGCTGATGCTATTAATATGTAACGCCCTCCTTATATCCTTATACCCTTTTATAGAAAATATGGTACCCTCTGTGACTTTAATAATCTCACCCTTGGCCCAAGGGAAAATAAAATAAGATAGCCTACTGAGATTGGTAGTGGAATAGAGGCAGTCACTTTTGCGACATCATGCGCGTCGGTGTAGTTAAAAAGGGCAAGCAGGATGTACAGTAAACAGAATAAACAGTAAAAGCTCAAGACACACACTCGACGCAGTATCAGGACTAGGTAAATGTTTGTTTCCTCAGACCCCAGACCCCCGGGCAGGGACGACGAGCCCCTACAGGCCTCAGCCGTCATCACTATGGCTTGATTAGAGATTATAACCTCCCGGTGAGTTTTATTTTCACGATCTGAGCCTTCCCGCAGTTTCATCGTCAGCCGTATCTGAGAATGTTCCATGACCCTAAACCCGTGCTTTGTGCGCACCAATTTGCGTCTCTATTTTTTAAAAATTAAAGGTGAAGGAGACTTTTGAGCCAAATTGGCGCAGCCGAGCTTCCTTTTTATGAATTAAAGCAATCGGCAAGAATATGTGAATTCGTCTTTTGATTACTTGAAGTATGCACCATAGTATTTCTAACTTATTTCTATTATTAAGGGTTAATACTGGAATGCCTGAAACAGACTTTGGATTTGCGTAACAGAAGGAGAGAAGATTGGATTACAGTTGTGCACCTCGTATTCGGCGGGGTGGACCATATAGAGTCTACGAGCTGCGAATATTTATAGAGGAGCAGATGGAATCCAAATGTACTACTTTGTATTACCTTAATTAAGTACAAATCTCAATTCCATCTTCGACACAATACCAGAGTGATTCCAACAGTTTCGTATGGTCATTGTCGATACGTCTTGCCAACCTTCTGAGCACCACTTCATCGCTGAATAAATATTGACGGGGGTATACGTCTCGCCTTTGTAAAACAGAGACAGTGTCCATGATGGCTCTGTGGCTGCCTTCCTGCACAATGTTTGCTTATTGGCGAGATTCAACGTAGAATAGGCGGACGGGCGACGTGCCATGGCCTTTTGCGACAAAATTTAAAATGAGCTGTTGTATGGTGAAGTGATTGAGCTGATACATCGTGGCGGAAGTGCGGCGTTTCATCCCTCCTTGAGGTTATTTGGTCCAAAGGAGATGGGCAACTCATTTGCGCAATGCATGTGGCCCAATCATTAGATTGTGCAGGTTATTAAGCCATACCGGGGCCGAAAACGACAGTTCGGTAAACTTATGCCACACTGGTCACTTTCGGCAAAGATATAGGTGCGCTAGAATAATAAGAGCCCATTCCATTTTTCATGAGCGTGACGTGCCTTGACATTTTGTATAAGCTTCTGTGCACACCAAGTGTGATCCTTGCAGGGGCTATTAACCGTGCACTACCTGTTTCAAGATGAACACGCTCAGTGTAATCATATTCACGCGCCAAAGCCTCGTTTTAGATCAGCATACGGATTATTTTTCCCATCTAATGCAACTGGTCGTTTGGCGCAAAGCTTGATCGTTTCACTCCACAACACCGTCGAAGCCCGGCGCGGTGCCCTCCCCCATGCACTACCAATGGCTGATTTTACTGGTATCCACCGCGCTCCTGGCGAATACCGACGCTGTGTTGAAGGCGACTGTACTCCCGCTGAACTCCCTGCTCAGACACAATGTCCCAACGAACCGGCTTCTGAGGGCTCACCAGCTCAAGAGCAACGGCCAAAATGCGGAGGAGAGGGGTGTAGGCACTTCCGCCGTCGAAACACTCACGAATTCTTTGAAAGTGCCCGCTAGCCAGCAGCTTGATGCCTGGCTCACAAATGGGAAATCTGCAGACGACGTTTTCAAACTCCTCACCTTGGACAAAGCTGCCGATGGTCTTCTGGCCAATCCGCAATTGAATGATTGGATCAGCTATATGAACCTTTTTAACGAGGCGAATCCAGCAAAGAGAACTACAGTGATTGCTACACTCACGAGGCACTTCGGGGACGAAGGCTTAGCGAGAATCATCGAAGCAGCGAAACAGGCTCCAACTACAGCAGCTCTTGCCAAGAGGATGCAGACTGAACAGATCCAACGTTGGCTGGTTGACAAGAAGACCCCAGAGGACGTTTTTTCGCTTCTCAAGCTCGACGATGTAGAATTAAGACTTTTTGAACAACCTCAAATTGTCACGTGGGCGAAGTACTTGGACGACTTCAAAAAGGCGAACCCGACTAGTGAGACGACTTTGCTCTTGTTCCTGAACTCTCGCTACGACGATTCAGATTTAGTGAGCATGCTTATAGCGGCGAAGAATGTCCCACAAACAGAGAAGCTTGCAATCCGAATCCAAGCCGAGATGACAGCCCTTTGGTTGAAAGAAACTGTAGAACCGGCCGACGTTTTTACGATGCTGAAACTTGACGAGATTGGCTACTCGATTTTGGGGAATCCACTATTCGCCGCTTGGGTAAAATACACGGACGATTTCCGCGAGATTCATTACGGAACGAAGCTCACGACGATCTCTGTGCTAAGACAATACTATTCGGACTTCGTCCTGACAAATATGCTTCTTATGGCCGTAAGGTCTCCAACTACGTCGGCTGTCTCGAAACAATTGCTTGGAGAGCAGGTGCGGAGCTGGTATTTCGCTCGTTTGGACCCTGCGGAGGTTTTTACCCTGCTAAAGATTGGTGAGGCAAAGACTCCGCTGCTTGAGAACCCACTCTACTATATTTGGCATAATTTCGCCAGTTATTACAAGAGCATGAGGCCGAAGGAAGACATGACCCCGATTGCAGTGTTGAGACAGCGCTACAACGAGGATGACCTCTTAACGACTCTTTTAAAGGCATGGGAAGTCCCGCACACGAAAATCATGGCAGAGCAGCTATTGAATGCTCAGCTCGAGCGTTGGCTAAAAGCCCAAACGGACCCAAAGAGTGTCTTCTCTCTGCTGCGCGTGGAAAACACAGCAGAAGATGATATTAGGAGGTTGCTTTATGAGGATTACCTTAGCGACTTCAAACGATTGTCCAAAAGAAGAAAAACTTCGCCTAAGTAATACACCATGAAACGCGGTGGGTTTCTTCAAATGAGTAGGCGGTATCGTGCCCAATTTTGATGCACATACAAAAAATCAGTATAATCACCACCAATAGGCGGTATCGTGCCCAATTTTGATGCACATACAAAAAAGCAGTAAAATCACCACCCCTTTTCAAATTCTCTCTTTTCTGCGGACATGTTAGATTTTCTCCAGGATTTCAGCGCTGTTTAAAGGATATCGAAGGGTTTAACTGACGAATTAACGTTTAGACAGCATTATTCGCCTTATAATAGTTAAGCTGTACACACGGCATACATGTTCCCGTAATCGGTTGCGCTCATAACTAATACTTGAGCTGTTGGCATGCGTACAGGCCACGAGTTGGCAGTAAGGAGCTCACTCCAGCAATTTCTACCTTCACAGTGTCCGATATAGGTCATGCGTGTAAAATTCGTGATTCTAGGAGCGCCTTGGTGAGTGAATACAAGGCGACGACATTTAGTGGTACTCAGGTGAAGAATATCGAGAAGCGCTACCTAAGAAGATTCAACATGGGTGATACAACGATGAAGGGAACAACAGTCGACGAAGAGCGGGCTGGGAATCTTAGCCCGACAACGATCAAGAACATATTAGAGGCAGACGACACCGTGGCAGCTCTGCAGAGTCACGGCAACCAAAATGCCTTGTTCGCACAGCTGGTGAAAGATGACATTACGGCGATAGCCATCGTTGCTAAGCTCTCGGAAAAGGACAAAATTATCAAGAACATGCCAATTCTGGCAGCATTCAACGATGCCAGAACTGCCCAAAAGTACAATCAACAACTGACTGACTGGCTTGACACGAAGACCCTGGACGACATAAAAGTAGAGCTGCGAGCTTTCAATACAAAACCAATGAGGACCCAATTCACGGAATGGTACCAGAACGGAAAAACTCCGGCTGAATTTAGTGCTGCGATCGCAAAGATAGGGAATGCAAAGAGACAAAAGGAGTTCGACGCGCTAGAAAATCTGTACAGAGGGTTCGTACAGGGGAAGGCGAACAAGGCGTAAAGCCGCAAAAGCGACAGCCGAAGACGCAGCAAGAGGAAAACGTCAAGAGCGACCCCTTTGTCGAGTTTTAGTGCAAATGCAAAGCTGACTCATTTTAACTTGTTTCTTTTTTTTTAAGTACACCAACTCGCTCTGAATGTCATTTTCCTTTGGTTTGTTGTCACGAATGGCAATACGGAATGCGCGTGTAGAAGACGCCCATTGCTTGCATCCCAAAGTGATACTACAGTAGTATTAAAGCTATAGACGTTCCCCTTTGGAATGGTATACCAAACGAGAGGCAGTGATTGCCGATTAATACCGGAACAACAGTGGTAGTATAGGAGGTTGGAGTGGCAGCTTTACCTACAGGTCAAATTACTATCGAGAGGTCCTTAACTTGAAATAATGTTCGTTTGGTGAGTGATCATCAGACCTCCGGATAGTAATAGAAGAAGATCACATAACTACTGTAACGGGGTACGTAGCCCTAAGTGTACTCCTGGTTACATGAAGTGTGACACGTCACACTTCAAAAGTATGATACGTCATACTTCGGGATATTTGGTACAAGGTACCAAGGTCGTCCAAAGCCAACCATTGGTTGATGACATTGCATTGCTATAGGTGACTTATAGCTTGTATGAAACCCAAGCTTTATCTACCTAAAAATATACTCAGTTTACATTCTACCTTAAATAGGTCACTTCGCTCTCTTTTAATAAAGAGGGAGCCTGTGAGCTGCCGTTCACTGAGAGTTTGTAAACTCTCGGAAGCTAACTTTCTCTAGCACAAGGTGCTGTGTGAACCCGTCACATTTGGTAGCACTCGTAGTCAATCCACGCCACCGCGGGTAGATTACCTGAACCTCTCCGAAGTTCGTTGCCATGGATAGGAACGACTTCCCCATGTGAACGACTCTCAATTCGAGTCGGTTCGGAAGATGGCAGGCATCTTCGGGATGGAGGCCCTGCAGAGCCTGGTGGTGTCAACACCGGCCGAGCAGCTCGAGCGCGTCAATGCATTTGACGCGTACGAGCAGGGGCTCATCGCGCATGCGCGGGAGAAGCTGCAGGATCCGGCGGCGGAAGCAAATCTGCCTCACCCGAAGCCAATACGACTGAAGGTTAAGCTGTATGAAAGGAAGGAAAGCGAGAACCTTCACTTCTGGGTCCGAGAAGTAGAGCTCGCGATGGACGCGGCTCTGATCTCGACCGAGCAGCTTCGTGTTGCTTTTGCACTCTCCAACCTTAGTGGCCGTGCTAAGCGTTGGGTGTACACACGGGAGACAACATCCCCTGGATGTTTCACATCCTGGACTCAGCTTTGCGAACAGCTCCGAGCCGCGCTCCTCCCGGCGAACTACGAGTACCGCCAGCGCTCGCGCTTCCTCTCGTGCAAACAAGGGAGGCGTGAGCTGCACGAGTACGTGCAAGAGATACGAGAGCTCACGGCGTCCCTAGTGGGAAAATCACTCAACGAGCACATCAAGATGACTGTGTTCATGGACGTCTGGTGTAGTAGAACACACAAATACCGTCAGATGTGGATTCCTTACACAAACCACAGCGAATCGCCGAGTTAGGTCGGCGGTTGTATGGCCTGCGCAGAGGGTGGTCCCCTCGCGGTCCGGCCCTTCCGGGACAGACGAGTGGCTCGCTTCCACTCGGTTCCGACTAACCAAGTCAGATCACTTCCGAGGCTCCGCCGAGTTTGGTTCGGCTGAGCTCGCTCACAACCCTGTGCCCTCCACCAAAGGATGGACGACGGCGCGCGAGCGCTTTTACAGGTCACCGAGCGCAGAGGCTGCTCAGCTAGAAGTGTTACGGCACCCGGGCTATCCGACGTACCGGCCCGCTGAGTATGCGGGACTTTCTTTCGCGCGTAGCGAGACTTTGTCCTACCCGGACCGACCTAATCTCTTGGCGCTACCAGTCAATACCCTACAAGCTATGCCTCTCGAGTATTGACGGCAGGCATAATCCAGCCCTATGCAGGGACTTACCGAAAAAGTGTACACGTGTCTTGGACTAGGAAAATTCTGCTCTGTTATCTTCTGGGAGCCCTTTCGGCTACCCTATTTAATCCTATGCTTCTCATACAAATATTTAATGAAATGTAGTCGTTTCGGATCTCTACCGACCCTTCAGCTGAGTTCCGGCGACCGTTGAGCTCAGCGGCTGTCCGGATAGCATATCCGGACAGATCGCCGAGTACTTACCGTGATCTTTTGCTCCTAAGCTCTGGGGTTATCAGACCGAGCCGATTCTTGACCTAAAGTAGGTCGGCGTATGGTCGAATCTGGAAATCCCTACACCACAACTGCCCCGGTTATGATACGAGCCGAGCTGGTGAGTGTCTTAATCCTTCATTTTGTTCTGCCACCGTTGGTCCGTACTCGGCTGATGACGTCTCGCGGCTCCCCACCACCTTCTTTGGTACGTTCGTTGCTTCCGCTGTCACTCACTTGGCAGCTCCTTACTCTTCGCATGTTGTTCCAGCACAACCCGTGGCACCATCCTTCTTCTCCAACTCCTCGTCGAGGTGAAGGCGTGCCAGCTGAGTCGATTCCTCGACCCGTCGGTACTCGTGGGTTCAGCGACCGGCATGAAGCTGGGCTGATTGACCTGACAACTTCCCATAAGTCTGACGCGGAGTCGGCAGAGTCTTCTCGCGTGCGCCTTCCTGGTCCACCGAGCTTGCCGGGCGAGACCACTTCGGGCGCCACCAATCAGCCAAGCTCGGCTGCTCCAGTGAGTCTTGACTCCCTCATGGCCAGAATTAACGAGCAAGGGCATGATCGCCGAGAAGAATTGACCTTCTTGGCGAGGCTCATGGCTTACGGATTTACTCGTTCCGTGGAGCCCTCCGATCCCGTGCAGCGGCGAGCTATTTTGCATGCTGCTTCCGCGGGGAACTGTTGGATATCTTGAAAGGCAACTACGCCGCTCTTGATTATCCAAAGATCATCGGCGATCTCCAAGCTGACAATCAAGCTGTTCAGGAGGAGAACCGCGCACTGACTCGGCGACTGGACTCGCTTGCTCTCAGCAATGTCGACTTGTCAACTCAGCTCTCGTCGGCTCAACAGCAAGTGTCTCGATTGGAGGCTGCTGCCACGCAATCGGCTAATCTCCTCGCGTCGCTGCGAAAGGCTGCAGCTCTGAGTGAGGCAAAACTTGCTCGGGCCATCGCAGCTGAGCAGAGCAAGGTTGACGCTGCGTTGGGTCAGGCCCAGCTCCACCATCAGCAAGTCTTGGATCGGGACGCCGAGATCGACGTCCTTCTCCGATCCATTTCTGAGAGGGATGCGGCGTTCGTCACTCTTCAGGGCATTGCTTCCAAGCACTTCGAACAGTTGCAGGAGTCGGTGCGGTTGTACAGTTCCACCGGTACTCAACCCTTGCGGCACGCTCAGTCGGTGATCGCTGAGCAGCGGGCTGTGATTTTGCGACAGAAGCGGCTCATCCGTCGGAATGGTATTATTCCGATGCACGATCCTCACATGGCTGCTGCTGCTGGCGGTGGCTTGCAAGTTCCTGGGCTTGATCCGTCCGACCTTCTCCTCAACGCCCGGCTGTGTCGTGTCTTGGAGTCTCGCTTTCCTGAGGCTCTCAACATCCTCGCTGGTGAAACTCGGCGGTTGGAGTTGATTGTCCATCCTCGCCGAGATGCTCCAGTGGCGAGTTCCATTATTGGTCCTAGTGTGGTTCTCTCAGCTAGTCAAGCGTCCTCGGCGACTTCATTGGCAGACTCGGCTGCGGCTCCAGTCAGCTCAGCGGCGGTAACAACCCAGGCTGAGCCGACTCTTGCTCAGCTTCACCGTACGCCTTTGGCAAACTTGACCTCGACTCAGCGGCTTCGGCGTTATGCCAACCCCAAGTCTCCCACTGCTGCAGGTCCTCGTCATCGTGCACCGGCGCCGCATCCGCCTCAACCGTACGCTTGTCCACTCCCCGGAGAGAATGGACACGAGGC